CATCCTGACAAGCCCCGTCGTTTGGAACTTCTCGGTACCGCGCTTTTCACACGCTTTGAGCAATTTGGCGACATCGCGGACCTTGAAAGGTCGATTGCGGTACAGGCCAACGCGGCGCACCTAACCGACGATGACAGTCCTGACATGCATAAGCGTCTGGACACTCTTGGTAGATCGCTGCGGATCCGTTACGAACGGCTAGGGGACCTCTCAGACCTAAACAGGTCGATTTCGGCTAATGAAGATGCAGTGCGACTGACTCCGGAAGGCCATCCTGACAAGTCTCACCATCTGGAAGTTCTCGGAAACTTGCTCTTCACTCGCTCCGAACGAGCGGGAGACCTTGCGGACCTTGATAGATCGATTTTGGTTATGGAGGACGCTGTGCGGCTCACCCCTAGGGACCATCCTGAGAGGTCTAATCGCTTGATCAACCTCACCAAATCGTATTGGACCCGCTACGATCGACAGGAAAACCTCGCCGATCTTACGATGTCAATTTTTGCACAGGAAGCTTCAGTTCAGCTCACTCCAGATGATCACCCTGACAAGCCTGAGCGTCTGTCAATTCTTGGACACTTGCTCTTGACCCGCTTCCAGAAAGTGGGAAATCTCGAGGACCTTCATAAGTCGGTTTTGATGAAGGAGGAAGCGGTGAGGCTCTCTCCAGAGGGCCATGTTGGTAGGCCTATCTGTCAGATCTACCTCGCCATATCCTTGTCCGCTCGCTTTAAGCAGCTAGGCGATGCTGCAGACATGGACAAGGCCATTTTGATGCAGGAAGACGCACTACAGCATACGCCGGATGATTATCATGACAGGCCTAAACTTTTGCATGACCTCGGAGAAATGTACTATAACCGCTTCGAGAAGCTGGAGAACCCCGCGGATATTCACGCCTCGATTTCGGCGATGGAAGACGCAGTACGCCTTACTTCCGACGACCACCTTTTCAAGTTGGCCTATCTGTACAGCCTCTGCCTGTCGCTATGGGCCCGCTTTAATCGGCTTGGAGATATCGCGGACGTGGGCAGGGTGATTTCGGTGGAGGAAGAGACAGTACGACTCATCCCCGAGGACCATGCTGACAAGCACAGGAACTTGAGCAGCCTCAGCGCGTCCTTTCGCGTCCGCTTTCTGCAACTAGGCGACCTCGCAGACCTCGACCGGTCGATTTCCGCGCAGGAGCGTGCAGCGCAGCTCACTCCGGATGACCATTCTCAGAAGCCCGATCGCTTGGCCGTCCTCGGCGGGTTGCTGTGTGCTCGATTTGAGAAGCTTGGGAACGTGGCGGACATAGATAGGGCCGTTTCTGTGCGGGAGGATGCGGAGCGACTCACGCCGGACGATCACTCTGACAAACCTCAGCGCTTGGCCGAGCTCAGCATACCGCTGACGCTTCGCTTCGAGAGGTCTGGCAATGTCGCAGACATAGACAGGGCGATTTCGTTGCAGGAAGACGCGGTGCGGCGCCTTCCCGATGGCGATCCTCACAAGCCTGAGGTATTGAACGAACTCGCCAACTTGCTGTCGGCCCGTTTTGAGCGGCTGGGAGTCCTTGCTGATCTGAGGCCGGCTTCCTGAGGGGTATGAATCACCTCAGACGGTCAGACTAGGCCTACAGGGCCGTTCTTTAGCTGTGATTTTACCACTGTTAATGGTGCGAGCTTGCATTTGTTACTACAAGGGGTTTTTTCATTTCATTTTTTTTCATATCCCTTTATTGTCCGCGAGGGCCGGGCCCTATGTAGACTACTACATGGTTGAGGTTTGCGTGTCCCGTACAGCGATGTCTACGAAACCTGCATGGATCTGTTTATTATTATTTTACTGCATGATCTGATAAAGGTATTCTATATGTGCCTCGGGATGTCTTTACAGCTGTGATCTCTCCCACAATCCACCAAGCAGGTATCTCTTACTGCACACCTGGATACTTCGATTGCCAGCGCCTCAACTGCAACACGTTAAGTCTCTCTCGTTCTCGAGCCCCGACGTCCACATGTAACAAGTCGTCACGACGGCTTGTCTGATATAGTAGTGCTGCCGTTCACTGGAGTCGACAAGAACGCCTTCAGTGCCTGGGAAGGTCATGATATTCCGACACCTCAAGGCCTGGCAGTGACACATCAGTAGAGGCCAAACCCGACGGACAGCACAATGACACACCTACATGCGTTGGAGCATGGTGAAGCGGGCATCAAACATCGGTGTGATGTTGTTCCCCTTGGCCTGGCACATCATCGCATGCAGCGGGCGGTCGGACGTGCCCGCCACTCTGCCTTCCGCGGTCTCGGTGCCGTGGTCGTGCGGACACAGGACCGCAACCCCCCCCCGGCGATGCTTTGACCAACCAGGAGAACGTGTTGTGCCGCCATGGCCTCAAAAAACACCAGAATGGCGTCCCCTCGCGCGATCGCAGGGTTGTTAACAGGGCGGCTCATAAAGAGGTGTTCTATTTTGCGTTTCGTAGCTTCAGCATCAAGCAGAAGGCATGGCATATCGGCGTGCCGGACTACATGAGATCTGCTAACAGCGCGTATGGAAAGTTTGGGACAACCAGACGCACACATCAGTGCGATAAGACGATGTATCGGTCTAAAGCAGGAAGGAGTGTAACGAGCAACAACTGCGCTCGATAAGATGCCTGCAGCTGCGTTGACATATGTATGAGTGGAAATTGGAAGGCCGCGAGGGCACGGGTCGTTCATCCTCTCGCTGTGCACATGGATGGGTGTTCAACAGGTCGGTGGCAGCCTGACGAGACGAATCGGTCGCGGTCACGAAGCCAAGATGAAGCCACGATAGGTGGACACCACGCGCGCGCATCGTGCTTCCAACCTGCCTTGGATCTGGCAGTGGCGTCATGTATTCGAATTCCTCTCAATCCAGGAATGTATGCACACTGAGTGCAAGCTATGGTCACCCACCCCGTCGACTCCACAGCCGCGCAGCGCAGCGCCCCACGACGGTGTCTGCGGAGGATACTCTCGGCTGGACGCGGGCTCGGTGGCCAAACGCGGTGGCGAATGCCAGTGCTTGCTTCCGGGGCTGCGTGCATGTATGCCCCGCGCAAACGGGCCACCGCGAAGACGACGACCTCGGAGTGGCACTCGAGGACACGCATGAACAAGCCAGTCGCCGTCAACGCGTTGCATCTCGCAAGACCACCGACGCCGACTGTCAGACGGAGGTGGGGCAATCATGGACGCGCGACTGCCCTCGTCTAGGATTGCACGCTCGGCGGTGGTGTTTAGATCAAGGTTCTTACTATGGGTGGTACTCTCAAGTCCTGTGGTGACAACGCATGGTGATCGATATTTCTCTTGGTGACAGACATGTGTAAATATACAGGCTCGCATGGCCAGTGAATGGGATTGGATTTCCCCGGTAAAACCTCTCAGCACTCGAATCTGCTTGTCTTGTTGGCTGCACTTGAGGCTAGTCTTTGCATCAGTCGCCAAGTTGTCGATGACCGTTGTCATTTCACTGCTGCTTGTTCTTCGTCGTAGCCAAGTACATTTTTTGATAGCAAACGAGACGTTAGCTAGTGATAGCTCGAGGCCACCCTGCACTGCAAGACAAGACTCATTCGAGAAAGGCCGAAGCCATCCCCGCGCTCAACTCTCTCTCAACAATCTCGCCGAACCTGACGACACCATACGGCGCCGGCCATCCTGACAGGCCCGGCCATCTCAGCAACCTGGGCAGCTCCGACCTCGCGGACCAGGACAGGTCGATCTGTATGCTCGAACACCCGGTGCGACGCGTCCCCTGTATCTGAGCAACCTCGGCAATCCATTTTTCCATCGCTTCCAGCGGCTCGGCGACGTCGTCGACTCGACCTGGACAAATCCGTTTCCGTGTTCGAAGACGCAGCGCGACCCACTCCCGACCGCCACTCCAGCAAGCCTCGCCGTCTAATCTAAGCAATCCGACATAAGCCGCTTGCGCCGACCTGGACAAATCTGTTTCTGCTTACAGGGACGCAGTGCGACTTGCGCCGGACGGCCACCCTGACAAGCCGAATTATCTAGGGCAACCTTGCCAGTCCCCTCCTGCAGCGTTTCAGGCGCCAGGGCGACCTCGCCGACATCGAAAATTCTGTTTCTGTACTCGAGGATGCGGTGCAATTGACTCCCGACGGCCACCCCGACAATGTCGCAAATGGAGGTCTGCACGGGTGCATTCAACATGCACACGCTCATACAGCGTGTCTACGAAACATGCACAGGATCACATCGACTATTATGCACGTAGATAACCATCTAGTACTACCTCGTATATATTCTCATGCTTCGGAATGTGATGCTTCAGGAGAAGTGTCCTGAAGCATCCTGACTGAATCGTCGCTGTCAGGCTACACTGCGCGCGCGCGAACATTTGTTCGGCGCTATTGTACAAGTACAAGAACTCGAAGAAGTTCTTTGATAGACAAGCCTGCCCGAGTGACCAACGTCGGCAGCTTGTTCCTGGGCTGCCCCACCGACCTCGGCGACTCTGCCGCCCTCGACAGGGCTATATCGCACTTCTCGAGCACGGCACGCTCATTTGGACGCTCTTCATCCACTCGCCTTCGAGCGTCCGTCCAATGGGCCGAGTCTGCTCGTCTTCGGAACTCTGATTGTCTCTTAGATGCATACACTACTGCCGTTGATCCTGTCCCGCAAGCAGCGTGGCTTGGATTACCCCTCAAAGACCGCCACCACGAACTCCTTCGAGCGGCGGACGTCGTGCGCGGCGCCGCTGCCGCTGCTCTCGATCGCGGACACCGCGGCCTTGCCGTCGAATGGCTCGAGCAAGGCCGCGCAGTCGTCTGGAACCTGCTGCTGCAGCTCCTCCGTACGCCCCTTGATGAGCTGGAGATCGACCATCCTGCGCTTGCGAGTGGACTGTGTCAGGTCTCGAACGAATTGGAGCGGGGCAGCCGCCATGACATCGCCGGAAGCATGGAGAATGACGAGACAGCATCCCCGGAGGCGCAAGCCCGACGACACCGTGCCCTCGCCAGCGCGAATACGAGAAGCGTCTCGCCGACGTTCGGTCTTTGCCTGGTTTCAGACGCCTTCTTGCTGCCAAAGACTCTCTCACAGCTAGCGTCTTCGGCGCATTCGGGACCCGTCGTCATTCTCGATGCTAGTCGGCTCCGATGCGACACATTGATCCTCAGAGCTGAATCGGACGACGTGCCCCGTGTCCCTCTCGCCGCTATCACTTACGAGGAGGTGGAGAAGCTGCAGAAATCCATGAACCAGCCGCTTGCCGCTCATGGCCACGTCATTTCGCGGACAGACAGGGCTGTGGAATTCGCACCAATGAAACAGACTCCTGATCAGCGGTTCCAGTCCATTCTCGCGAGACTGTGGGAGAAGGATGCGAAGCCGGGGTTGGATGCACTTGGTTTCTTGGTGCGTACTACAGTATTATCCTGAGCGGGAAACACATTCTGAGCCTGTATTCCAGACTCCAGGTACTGGACATCCGTCTCGCATCTTCTGGTGCCCCACCGGCCCATTCTCGTTTCTCCCCATCCACTCTGCAGGTCTGTATGACGCCGCCGATCCTGGATCCAAGCTGTCAGACTTTGTTATCTCGTCGTACACGCCCACTCTCAGTGTCCTCGCCCAACCACCACCACCTCATGATGGCATTTCCGCGAACACTTTGCGTCTTGTTGCTGTTCCCCAGCCGAAATCGGACGGACAGGGCCGACTCCACGGTCCACAACGAGAGGTGGATTATATCAAAGCGACGCTCGAAAGCCTCCCACCCACTCCCGTCTCGCTCGCGGTGTCCAACGGGACCGTGGAAGACGTGCTGGAGAAGATGAAAGAATCAGACTGGATCCACTTTGCATGCCATGGAGTGCAGGACATCCACAGTCCCCTCGAAAGCGGACTGATGCTCGCTGATGGCCGCCGTCTGAAGCTGACGGACATCAACCAGTTCGTGCGTCGCCGTGGAGGACTTGCGTCCCTGTCCGCGTGCCAGACTGCTATGGGCGACAAGACTCTTCCGGAAGAGGCGGTCCATCTTGCTGCGGGGATGCTGCTCGCTGGATATGGCGGTGTGATTGCTACAATATGGTCGATACGCGACGCTGACGCGCCGGAGGTGGCGAAGAGCGTGTACGAGCAGTTGTTCCGGGATGGCGACTCGCCAGACTGCAGGCAAGTTGCGCGGGCGCTGCACTATGCGGTGGAGAATCTCCGCCAGCAGGATGATATTTCCTTCGTGTCTTGGGTTCCTTTCATTCATGTTGGTCTTTTTGCGATAGCGTTGCCCTCGTAATCTAGTCATGATGTATTATCGCTGTGCAACTGTCATAAATCAGAATGGGTAGATCAATTGAATGCACACATCGTAATTGTACAGTTAATCTCGTTCAGTCACTGGGAGGATGTGAATAACAGTTCATTTTGTCGTAGAGCTTCGGTTTCATAGTACCACCTAAGTTGTAAATCAGCTCATGTACTGTATCGATGGATGTATCTGTCTGTGGGAGATACTACTTGCCTCGTCTCGGTACCCGTAAAACACTGCCTGAACTTGAAGGGTAGGACGACCGTGACTCACCAGAGTCGAGAACAGCAGCACTGCAGCGGAAAGCCGGTCCGCGGCGGGCACGAGGACCGAGCCGGATCGAGTTGGACCGGAGCGACGGAGGATCAATTCAATAAAGATCGGTTTTGCAGACGACGCCTGGTAGATAACTTGAAAGACTTTCGTCATGTCCGCAGACTCGTCAGAAATCCAAATCAATGTCAAGGGTGGGTTTCTCCTCCTCCTCCTCCTCTCGCCCCGCTCATCGACCTCGTCGTAGGTCCCAGCGAGCTCAAGCTCCAGATCACCATCTCCACCGACAAGTCCGTCCTAGACCTCAAGCAGGCTATCGCTGAGAAGTCTGACGTCGCTGCCGACCGCCAGAGACTGATCTACTCCGGTGCGCACCATCGTCTTTGCCGTTCCACTTCCCCTCTCTCGATACTCACCATCCTGCCCAGGTCGAGTGCTCAAGGTATGTCTGCACCGCCATCGCCATCGCCATCGCCATCACTCAGCGTTCCCCACAGGATGAGGACGTGCTCTCGACGTACAAGATCCAGTCGTCCCACACCATCCACATGGTCAAAGGCGCCGCACGAAATGCCGCCTCATCATCTGCCCCCGCTCCTCCACAGCCCCTGCCCAACATGCAGGCGGGCCAGAACCCGCACGATCCCCTCACACAACTCAATGGACACATGGGATACGGCCAGATGGCGGGTCTCAATCCCTTTGCAGACCTTGGGTTGAACACAAATGACCCCAACATGGTGAGTGGCCCACTGTCATGCACCTGGATGTCGTTTTCTGTCTGGTAAGCGCAAGTTGCTGCACCCCGGGGATCCATACATCCGCATTTGCGCATATTCAGATCATATTCTGTGTCCCATCAACCGGCTCGGGTCTTTGTACGCTTGCTTATTCCTCAATTGCAGATGCAGGCTATGTTCAACTCGCCGCAATTCTTTCAACAAATATCCAGTATTTTCTCGAACCCCGCCCTCCTCGACCAGATCATCGCTTCTAACCCCCAACTCGCCCAGATGGGTCCCCAGGTCCGCCAGGTCTTCCAGAGCGAACAATTCCGCCAAATGATGTGCGTGTCCGCATTTTTTTCCGCCCTCCTGCTCCCCCACACGCCGCGGAGCCCTAACGTCGCCCCTACAGGTCCAACCCCGAGACGCTGCGCATGATGCTCCAGATGACCTCTCTCATGCGCGAGGGCGGCGGCGCCTCCAATGCCGGCGCAGGCGCATTTCCCGCTCCTGGCATGCCCTCGACTGCCCGCCAAAACGCGCAGCCCCCCACCGGTGGCGCAGCGCCAGCAGGCACGGGCACCGCGAACCCTGCACCGCTCCCGTTCATCAGTCCCCTCTTCCCTCCACCTGGAACGCCCGGGAGCGGTGCTGGTACTGCTGGTACTGGCGCTGACCCCGCGGCCGCAGGAGGCGCGGGAGGTAGGGGGCTGTTCGACCCCGCAATGATGCAGCAGATGCTCGCTGCGATGGGTGGCATGGGTGGTATGGGCGGGGGCGCAGGTGCTGCGGACCCCTTTGGGTTCGGTGGATTCGGTGGATTAGGGGCCGCACCTGCCGCACCGGCGGACACCAGAGCGCCAGAGGAGCGATTCCAGGTCCAGCTACAGGTGAGCTGTCTTTTCTGTCCTCCGTGGGGATATGCATGTGCGGGGATGCTGACGAAGCGCGTCGGCAGCAATTGCAGGATATGGGCTTCACGAATGCGTCGCAGAACGTGCGTGCGCTGCTTGCGACCGGCGGCAATGTGCACTCTGCGATTGAGTATATTCTAAGTGGCGGCGGGCTGTAGTGAATCGTGGATGCCTGCCTGGGTTGCTGTATTGGTACAGTGAGTAGGTGCTGCCGGTGTAGGGTATGCGATACATGATAGAAAAGTACAGAAGTGTAGTGTGCATGTAACTTAGCGGTGCGCAATTGGCGATTACACGCTCTGTAGAACTCGGGCCGTACTATATGATCTCGGCACAAAACCTGTACCCTCCCACCTGCTCTGCTGTCGGAACAGCACTGGGGTGGGATGTGCAGTACAAATGGCTGTGCCAACCTTGGTGCGTCCGCGCAGACGGCGACTTCAACTCTGCATAATATCCTGTGAGCGTAACGTGCATCAAATGCGCCTCCTTACCCCTCGCACTCAACTTCGACAATCTCTTCATGCACGATAGCCCCCTTTGTAGGCACACTGGCTGGCATCCTCTCTCGCACATCCGGCACCATATGAGCATGCGCGCGTCCTCCCTCATGCGCGCGTACCTCCGGCGCAGGCCGCGCGTCCGCCGCCGCCACCTCCCTCCTAACGGCCGCACGCCACGCCGTCCGCACGATCCACACACAGAAGTTCACGGCGCGGTGGCACCCGAAGATGAGGTACTGCATGCTGAAGAGCACGCCCGCGAAGCAGGACATGACGAGCACCGCGGTAGACCACGCGGCCCACGCGACGGAGAGCAAGAAGAGCATGAGCGCGAGCGCAGAGAGGAACATGCACAGCGTCGGCGCGCGACAGGTGAGGCTGAAGAAGAAGTAGGACCCGTACACGTCCGTCGCGACGCGCTGTGGGTGCGTGAGTCGGAGTCTGGGCGCGCGAGAAGGAGGAGTGGGAGAACTCACCCTGAAGCGCGCGGTGTTCGCGCCGGCATAGAGCACGAGAAACCAGGAAACCGAGACGAGCCCGAGCCCGGCGGCGATGGCGCCGAAGGCGACTGCGTGCTGGGCGAAGCCACCAATGGGCAGGATCGAGCCGGGCGCGAGACCAAAGACGGCTGCGTCGATCCTGGGGACTCGATCAGCAGGATATATGCGTCAGAAAAACAGGGACATACCCGGTCAATGCGAGGAGCTACAGGATCCCACGATGAATTAGCTGAAGAGGCGAGCGGGTACCGCGATGCTGGGCTCACCGATGCTGCGACAACGTACCACTCCATAAGCAGCCGCGATAGGACTTTGTCAAACTCGGCGTCTTCTACAGCGTCTCTCAGTTCGCGGTATGGTGCGAAACAGTCCACGCATGCCTCCAGAAACGAGAGTGGTATAGACTGGTTGGTGTCATGGTCTTGCACATGTCGTGGCAGTGAGAATGCGGAGAGCAACCCCCATGGCGGCGCTAGCGTCGTCGGCGAACCGGAGTTGTATGAACGCTCGTGGTGAGGAAAGTAGGACTCGTAGTCGTCGTCTTTTGTCTCTTCGATTTGTGTCAAGTCGTCGTCCCGCGGAGTAGGTGGGCAGGAAGACGCGGCAGACGACGAACCATCGCAGTCCGACTCAGAGTCAATATGATAGCCTTTTATTCGTGGTTTTTTTCGCCTCCTCAGCCCACTTTCGACCAACCCACTGAGATCTGGCGAGGTTTCGTCCCGGGATTGCGATGCGGGAACGAGAGTCTCGGACGGTGAATGGGAGGATGCTATAACCCGGTGCAAGACGAGCAGTTGTGTCAGTAGAGAAACCGGACAAAGAATAAGTAGCATGCATACAGCCAGTGGATCGGCGGTCTAGCTCATCCTCATCAAGTATGTCGTCGTCGGACGCGGTGTTTGTGGGAGAGGTTGATGGAATGGGTTCTGGTGCGACAAGTCGGACTGTGAGCGTTGCGGAACGTTGTTGACGACCTCCAATCGTTGGACTTCTTTTCTGTGAGGTTGGACAACTGAGACGAATATCCACGTCTAGTATGGCTGGGATATGAGAACAGTGAGAAAACTGACTCTCGACTACGTTGCATACCTGACCCTGGTCGCTCCTGCCTCTGCAACACTTCTCTCAGTGTGATATAAGCCGAACCGACCAAGTGTCTTTTTTTGCGTTTTTTGGAGCGAGACTTGTGCCAGAGCTTGACGTCAAGGAAAGAGGTGTGGTCCACTCCCCGCCTTTCCCAACCCAACTGAGTGCAAGAAGAACGACAAGATTGTTGACTCACAGAGTGAACGGTGCCTTTTGATTGGGATTCTGGCCGTCACACCCAAGGACAACCTCGTGAGATTGTTGAGGGTCGACGACAGCGACCGAGACTATGGGTTGCCATGATTTGTCGGGGCGGATGAAGAGTAGGCCCTGCGTGCGGACCACTAAGCGATTGGAGGTGTTACGATTAACGGAGCGAGATCCAGGAGGGAAGATTATCACCTGTTAGATACCAGGATCTAAGCAAGACGATGGCAGACAAAGCAAGTCGACATCAGCGCGGTCAAGTTTGTGGGCAGAATTGATGAATATTTACTCAGAAGCGAACATGTCAGGTGTCAGAGACAAAGCAAGACAAGTTTGGAGAGATGGGAATGCGCCAGTGAAGACGACTCCGGAGATGCACGCTGGTCGAGAGGGGAGAAACAAGGGCGACCAAGTCGAGGAAATTGTGGGTCCACAGCCTGATCGCAGCTGTATACTCCGGTAGACGCCAGCATAGCCGACTGATGATGCGGCCTGCGAACAAAGTCTATCCGACGATGAAGTCCAGCTGCGGTCTACTCAGATTTAATGCACACGGCTGCGGTCGATCCACACAGAGAGCATACACCTCGGAGAGGACGACGAGGCGGAGGAACAGGCAGGCAGTAGCAGCACCCCGCCACCCCGACGCTTGGGCGTTTGTGTGGCTGATCAGAAAAGCTCATTCCCTTTTTGGAACAAGGAACTGGATCCAACGCCTCTTCCGTGGAATACAAAACACGTCCACAAGTCCACAAGCCACACTCCTCATTCACATAAATTCCTGGAAAAATGTTCCCAGCCCTCGTCTCTTCCCGCCCTCCCCCACTCTCTTGCAGATTTTGTGCTGGTCACTCTTTCCATGTCGCGTCTCTTCTCCTCGCTACGGCACCTAGTCGGTAGGCCATGTCTCCCCGACCCAGACATTGAACAGGGCATTCCACGTCCTCGTGTTCGGAGAAGGCTACTAGCTCTGGTCTCGGAGCCATCTCCAAAAATCTTGCGGGTCGACCAGCTGCCTAACGATGTGCTTGTGGATCAAGTACTTAGCTATTTGGACCTACCCGACCTTTTGGCTTTGAGACGAGTGCGTACATAAAGCCTTTATCTACGCACACAAGCCACTCACTCTTCATCCAGGTGTCTGTATTATTTTATGAACTTACTCACCATACCGTTATCTGGAAGAGACTCCTGCGCAGGACCGATGTGGTTATTCCACCCATTCCGCCCACCGCTCGTTATACACTGCCCCATCTGACTGGGCTAGACTTAGAACGACTCCTTCTACGAGCCATCTCCGTTGAACGTAGATGGTCAGATCCTTCATTTAACGAAATCCAGCCTTGGACGTTCAATGCTCACCATCGGATATGTTCCATGGTCGCTTTGCCCGGAGGACCTTACTTGATTGCTTCCGTCTGCGACCACGGAAGCAACCATTATTCTCTCGTTGTTTTTGTCACAGACTACAGCCGCGGCGGCGTCATTCCTCTCGCCAAAACACGCACCAAAACAAAGGCATATCACTTGCAAGCCCGCTATCTGACCGTCAATGGAAAGCGCTCCATCGTCATCGCATACGTTCGTAAGGAGTACAAGAACCATAAGGAGAGACGCCGTCCGCACCTTGGACCACACGACATCGATATTTCTGACTACGCCGGCGACTATGAGGTCGAACACTCGGTCGCGGTCAAGCATGAGTGCACCGTTCTCCAGATTTCCCTTGAAAAGCTAGAGCATCTCAGCGACCCCCGCCTGCATTCCGAAACTGATCGGTTCTTGAATTACGCCATCGCCCAGGAGGCCCCATTCAGGCTGCTGGCTGTCATCAAGTCCCGCCGCCAGCTGATGCACCCCGTCCTGGATGAGATTCGAGGATCGCCATTCATTGCGGTAGTCAAACTTCCAAACACCATTGTCTTCAAGAATCTTGAAGGGGGGGCCCTTGCGACTATGGATTGCGCGGCCACAACGGGATTCCCGAACAATGTGCGTCATTTGTCCTTTTTTTGGCTGTTGAAACGGCATTGATAGCATCGTAAACTAGGAACATACCATACTCGCAATTCGCCTGATTCCTGTACAGGATACCATTTTGGTCGTCCGGAAACTGCGGACGCCTCCTCTAGAGCCTTCCACAGAACGCGAAAAGCGACGAGGACCACAGGATCTTTTGACCCCATTCATAGAGTACTACGCTATTCCACCGATAGGAGAGAAGCCGCTTGTTTCAACCAGCGTATCTACAGCCCAGATACAGCTAGAAAGTTGCTATGCCTTGGATGACGTCACCATCTCGGACCATGGCATCCCAACACGCTTTGACGATTCCATCAAGCCTGTGTTGTGGAGCTCTGCGGATGCTTACGCACCATCCCCCATCCATATCTTCATGCGATGTTATCCGCCGGAGGCATATATGCGCCTTACCATATACCCTGAGCGTATACCCAATGTCCGCCCTCCGACGCCACCAACAACAGACGCATCTCCGAAGGATTTGGCTCAGAGTGCGTTTGAGCATAGTTTCCAAACATACCATTACCCCATTTCGCATGAGGGGCTTTACGGCGAAAAACTCCCGCCCCAACATCCTGCGGCTGAACTGCGCATTCTCCCAGGCTCGGCACGGGCTATCCTGTACAGTGTTTATTCAGACACCGTAACACTGGGACACAGGGTTCACATCATGGAGAGGTACAGCCTGCCCCGAGCGCAGACTGAGGAAAAGGATAGGAAGGACGTCTGCATGAGGTTTCCTCGGTGGCCCGGCATGAAATCCATCCAGACCATGGCTTGGGACGACACCATTGGGCGGCTGTTCGTTGCGGAGAAGGACACGTCAATGATAAGTGTGCTCGATTTCGGTGCCGCGCCACGATTAGGTGAGCTGTTCTGCAGCGCATTGATTTTGTCATGCGTTGAACTCAATCTTGCGTGCAGATGACGACGGCAAGCGCATGCCCCTCCCGGTCCACTTGAGTCCCCACCCCGACGACATGCTCACGCCGATGCCCGAAGTTCCCCCTCAGGAAGATCACGACATGACGTTTCTCAGCCAGTCCAACAGGACGATATGGGAGGAGAGGCTCGGCCTTGACTTCCCCGAGAATGGAGACGACGAGATGCCCCCCGACTATTCCTTTCCGGACGATGACGACTTACCTGGCTATGATGAATGAGGTCGCGTCCAACGACGGACTCGAAGGCTCGGTCTCCGCTGTGAGCCCGCAAATTTTCTTCTAGACTTTTTCTGTTCCGCTCTATTTTCCAATGCTTTGTCGACTCTGCTTGCGCTTGTTGCCGCTTGGGACTGTCAGTATTCTACGAATATTCCTAGTCATGTTGTATTTGTGACAATTACTTGTAGAAGGTTAATTTGAATAATAGCAAGTTATCACGGAACCGACCTGAGTGCATCGTCTATCTTTACGCCAAAGGATTGAGCGGCTTCAAGCTGCAACTTATGTGGAGAGTCGGGGTCAAATTCCAAAAGCTCACACGTATTTTGCAAAGATCGATAAACAATAACTCGGAGCCTACCGAGACGCTTAGCGCTCTTATTGTCTCGACTCTCCGCCACGACTCGGAGTTCGTCATGCGATTCAGTTCAACTTGACTCGCTTGTTGGCACTACGATTTCTTGTCGGTCCCAAGTCAAGTACTTGACGCCGAGACGCATCAGTAAAGTGCCCCCATCACGCAGTCACAATCCGTGGCAGTGTCGTATGGCTTGCTGTGACCTATTGCCAACATGTCTCCGAGCCCTCTTATTTTGGCGCAATCAACCCATGGTTATGAGCAAAACAACTGCGGCGTGAGCATTATAACAACCATCTTTCACTTCACACTGCCCTCACTACTGACGCTCAAGCATACAAGATAAAGTCTGTCCGATTCATGCGATGTATCGTCGCTGCTTCTTCCGTTCCAGAGCCCCAGCATGTCGCAATCTGATACCATGTAAGTACACTTTGTGTGATCGCAATGGAGTGGCGAACACTGACCACAGGTAATAGTAAGCAGTACCCTTTTGTCGTGGCGATCAGTGAGTCGATCGAATCATCGGATTCTAAGTGAGATATGGTTCCTGATCATTCTCCAGCAATTGTTCTCTACGATTATTTTCTATCTATTTCGCAGGAGATAACTTATGTATGGGGGCGTTCGTTCTCTGGCACAACCGCCCTATTTTTGATTAATCGGTACCTTTCTGTCGTGTACGTGGTGCTCCTGATCATTGAGCCTTATGTGGCGTATAATCAATCGCATTCCGAAGCAGACATAGTGAGTTCATCATTCATAAAGGTTTTGTGCATATTGGCTAAGTATCTGCAGCTGTATGTGTTCACTCACCAAAATGAGTGTGCGCGACACTGATTCTCGGCCATCCCACTGGCAGCTGTTCTGTCTTTGAGATTATTTCAATCTCCTGTACACCATCCTCAATCTGAATTTTACTGGTGCGGTAGTGATTTTGAATGATTCTCCCTATGACCATCTCATCTTGAGGTGTTGCTAGTGATTACATCTTTGCGAATGTATGCAATCTGGAATAAAGATATCAGGATACTGGCAATCATTCTACTCATGGGACTTGTACTTACAGTCCTCAATGTGGTATGTTTGTTCTGGGATCACCGGCATATGTTCTTCCGATTCTGATGGTCGATGTCTAGTACGCATGTGCTACGGAGAAAGCATATTTCGCCTCTGTCCCATCAAGGACTTGCGTCGACCATACGAGCCTCAACGTGGTCATATATGATGCGTAAGGTTGAGAACTTGGTTTTATGTCGTCGCACTTTCTTATACAGCCCTTCACAGTCGTCAGTCGATGATTCAATGAGTATTCAGATCCCTGCCACTAACAATGCCATCCACACAGTTGGCATCGTCACTGATGTCTTGAATATTTTATTCTCCTCTACGATTTTGGTTCTGATCTTGATTAAGACATACATTAATACTCGGCATGTGGTTCCTTCAGTGCAACATAGAGGTGCGCAGGTGTTCATACTCTTTACGAAGGATGGTGCGCTTTTTACTGTTTTGTACCTTGAAGTCTGTTCTAAAAGTGAATTCTAGGTATCCTACAGTTCATGTTCGTCATCTTTCTGACGGATAAATGGGCATCGCGATTAATTCTACTAGAGGAACTATATTTGCCAACGTCACTAATCTTGTCGCCTTTAGCATCGGCCAGGTGCGCCTCACGATTTCATAACGTTAAGCCCATACTCAACGCAGCGTAGACGGGGCTGGGTGTGGTGACATTTGTAGTAAATGCGTAAGCACCATTTCCTAATTGAAATCAACTCGGTGAAAGCTTGCTTTACTAGGTTGATTGTCGTCCTGGTATCAAGGTTCATCTTTAGCATTCGCGCGATCTATACCCACGAACAGGGAGAGACAACGATCCGTAACCAAATGAGTCTCCAGTTCGCTGATATCAACGTGGAGCAGGAGGGCCATGGGATGTTAGATAACGCTGAGGAAGACGACAACGATCAGTCCAGGATCTTCGCGGGCCGCATTGGGTTCGAACGAAGTCCATATCACATGAGCACGAGCTGGAGACCGCCATGGGGTCCGGAGGCGAATATTTTTGACATTGGCTTGTCCGCTCCCCTCACAGAAGACACAGAGGACCCGGACCTGATACAGGACCATTCAGAGTACTAGCAGGCGATCCGGCGGAGGAAAATTATCCCGGAATGTGAATGCTGGTAGTTACGTGTTCGTCGCGCTCACTGTGGATTATGGATTAGTTGAATGTTTGAAAAGAGATGTCGAAACCTGCATTTTGCGACCTGTCCCGAACGTATAACCCAACTTGAAGTACGGGGAGCCATGATGTTGCCCACAAACGGACGAATGCTGCTACCGCTCTGTGCAACGCACCAGACGAGAATTTCTCACGGGATACAGTTCGTCACACTCGGCATATGTTACACTACGAGGCATCTTGTGCTGCTTTTGAACTTTAAGCAGAAACTACGCGGAAGTCGACATGATGTTTGGTGAGGGCTATGGCTCGGTCTAGGCTACTGCCAGGTCTGACGGCGCCCATTCGTTTTGATGTGAAATATTAGCAGCTCTTTAAGGAGATGGAGGTGGTTTCAGTATAAACGCAAAGCACACACGATAACTCGCGCATGAACCGGCTAGGTGTGTTCGCGCAAACAGCTGAACGTACTGCTCATGTCATCGACCATGTCGAGACCACCATCCAAGAACAGCTGCCGTTTCTGCACACTATCCAGTGACTGTCCACGCCGCTTCCAATCCTCCTGAAGCCATGTCGCTCTGGAGTCGCCGTACACGCGGGTGTTGCGGACATCGCTCCCCGTCATTCGCACACGGTTGCTCGCTGCATTTCCTCCCAGCAAACGGCGAATTTTCAAAGAATGTCTCTGTGTCATCACAGAAGCATCCCGCCAGCCAGCTTGACCTCAATGGCCCGATAGTCAGCCCCATTGACTGCGGGCAAAAGAGTGCATGTGTCATCTCCATGTTCTGAGCGGCCCTCCACACTAGTAACCAGGTATCCGAAGGTGGTATGGCAAGATGAAGAGGCTCTCAAGGCGCTCGCCTGCACTGCCAACAGCAGCCTAACCTTATGGGACATCACAGACGTCTACAGAACCTGTGCATTCATCTACGTATATCAGATTATTCCGTTCGAGATAGTCGTACTGATCCCGAGCCCATTCTGGCCACAACCGAAGTGATGCTGGGCAAGTGGTCCGCGAGCACTGGACGTTGTGCCAAGTTTTTCCTCGCGATCAAAGTTGGCTCGTTCGACACGACACACAACGCCGAGAGCAAGTGTAGGGACAACGGCAAGCCGGTGGACATCTGTCGCCAGCTTGAGGGCGCCCCCGAGGAGCTCCAAACAAAGTGATTCGACTTGTATTACCAGCGCTGCGTTGACAGCGAAGTCTCCATCGAAGGTGTATGTACACGAGCTGCTGCAAGAAACATGTATCCTATTCGTGCTGGAGACGTGTCCGTATGTTGAAAGCAGCAAAGTCGAATGTCTCGGCGTGCGCCCCGTTGGTATTCGACCTGATCTCAACAAGGAAAACTTCTCAAGGAACCCCATTCCTGAGCTGCGGTCAACGCGCCACCTGGATAGCGTCAGAGGCGTGGGGATTGCGCTAAAGGACGAAGATGAGAAGGTACACCTACTTGCTCTGGGGCATTTTCTATCCCGTTCTATCGCCTGATCACAACAAAAATTCCCAGCGAGTCGATTCGAATTATCTCTAGGCCCGTTCACCTTACGGCTCACAAAAATGTTGTAGCCCAGTATTTATATACTCAAAGTAGATGATATACCTTGCTTTTTAATTTGTTTGCATGAAGGCAATGTCGCCGCCTGGTTGCGCTGTCGGAGCGGCAGGGAATAGAGCAGCGCCGCGGAAACTTTGATGAGTGTCAGCCACAGCGGAGTCTCAAGACCTCATCTGCCGACGTCTGTCGGCGTACGCTGTGCAGTGTGAACCGCCGGCACTGCACATTGTGAGGTTCATCCTCCATAGTAGCTGTGTCGATATCTGGAATGGATTTTGGAATATTATATTTCAAACTTCAGTTGACCACCCTTTGTATGTGATTTACTCCGGCTCGCCTGCACGGATACGCTCTGACAGTTGTGCAGTTTTCTCTCTCACCGACTCGGACCAGACCACGCACACGGCCTTTCGAGATCATGCATGCCATCTGATGAGAACCTCACGAGTGAAACAAACACATTTTTCTTCATCCGCACGCCATGGAGAGGCTCTGCTCTCATTACAACTCGTCTTGCCTTACTGAGGTAATCCAGGGTCTGGGCGCTTACTTCGAAATGCTACGGCTTCTGCATTTGATGCAAGAACCACTGCAGCCAGTTGTATCACTTCGAAACCTGGCAACCTGTGAAAGCGCAAAATCATGAACTTCTGTCGTAACGAGAACGATAATGCTATGAGTAATTCGAACCAGAGAAGGAATCCTATATTTGACCCACTGATGTCCTTACAGTGCTCGGTGTTGTGCCTACATTACATGTGGTGGAGTCCGTCGATCTCTAGTCTCCGACCTTCTTGTGGCTCGTCCCATTCGTTAGTTTAGGTGTTCAACGTCTTGCGGGCGGCTCAACGATAGTAAATCCTCGTCAAGGGGCGTTGGCATCTGCCGAATCATGATGTTGGTCAATCTTCTTCAACCCAGGGTCGTGAGAGAGTTCTTTCGATGCATCGACAGTGGAGTACAAAAAGACCCCTGTGGATGATAGGTAACATTCGAACTACCTGAACGAGCAAACAGCTTGTGTTTGCATTCCCCTGCTCTCGCTCTAGATTTTCAACACCTCGCGCATAACCCAACAGCTATGTACATAACACCCGATCTAATTGACGACGGATTAGCGTAAGTCCGCTACTAATCCCGCACACTTGTGATGAGAACTGACGAAGAGCGCCAAGCGTGTACTACCATGTGGCTGTCGCCGTGAGTGAGTATCTGAACAGCACCTTGGCTGAATTCAAACGTGAGGCTTGGTGTCTGACAACTTTCAGCGGTCGTTCTCTATGATTATGCTTTGACCTTATCGCAAGAGATTCATTGTGTATGGAGGCGTCCGCTCTCTGGAGGAATCGTGATATATCTGCTCAACCGGTATCTGTCTATTGCGTATGCGCTTTTGTTGATTGTCGTACTGTGTACGGGTTATATACAGTCGCCTCCAACGGCAAACAAAGTACGTCCCGGTTTCTCTCAACAAGCTCGTGAACTGATCCTAGTTGATCTATCTCCAATCACAGGTGTGCGTCCACGGTTGACTACGCAAGATACATGACACTGATCTTACACCAGTTGCATTGGTGTTATGAGCACTCTTCGGCCGATCTATGTTATCATTGAGATAAATTTCGTAGGTGCATGACGTTCGATTTGAGGCTACGCCGTCTATTAACCTCGCGTCGATCTTAGTTTTTATATCCTTGCGCGTTTTTGCCATTTGGAACAAAGATATCCGGATTTTCGTGTTCAGCGTGCTCATAGAATCGGCCCCTATGATTCTCAATGCGGTATGTATCCTCCAGAACGATAGGAGTATATCCTGATTTCCCGTGTTTAGTACTTGTATAGTCTGCAGCAGTTTGCGTTCGAAACTGCCCCGCTTAGGGTTTGCATGGAATACGCGTACACCAATGTGGATACATTTAACACGTAAGTAGCGAGAACCTGATTGTCATCGCGCTTTCTTACGATAATGTTCTCAAGTCGTCAGTCACAGTTAAGGACACCGAGTCTCTTGAGACTAATGATTCCGCACAGTCAATTTTGCCACTGCCGTCCTTTCCATTCTATCAAACGGAATTATCCTTGCTCTGATCCTGGCCAAGACATCTGCTAGTATCCGTCAGATCGGTCTACCATATAACAGAGGCGCTCAGCTGTTCGTTCTCATCCAGAAGGATGGTGCGCCATTCGTTACGCTAGATTCGTAACATGTAGCTGATAAGTTTGGTGCAGGTACTCTGCAGTTCATGTGCGTTTTCGGGTTTTGACCTACTGGTCAAGCACGAATGACACTGCTATATCTAGAGCCATTCTAATCATATACATCGTCAATTCGGTCGGATTGAAGTATCCAGTACGCCTTCTCAATATGTCTTACATTGGTACCTTCACGATATTCTTATCTGCACTCAGACTGTACAAATGCGGACGCTACCACTCTTGCTGGAAGCGTGAGTATCATTTACAACCCAGCTTAAGTGACATGACACTAATTCAGTCATACTTGCTCCGTTAGAGTAACTGCCACTTTGATATCGAGATTTAATCTCAACCTTCGTGCTATTTATACCCGAGACGTATCGATATCTGGCCGCCAGACGAGTGTCAATTTGGAGAGTATCGACACAAGTCGTAACATTGTCTTCGGCAGCGAAGGAGGCAATGACAGTGATGACGAATAGATAGTATCACTGGACGAAATTAGAATAAAGTTGAGTTCGGACTGACTCGAGCACGAGTTTCATCAAAAGGTATGTGCCGCGTCCCTAATATTAGCATTACGCGCGTTGACTTGCTGGGAATGTAGTATGAGCCGGGGGCACGGGCCTGATGGCTGCCATTTACGCGGTCTGGATTCGATACGAATTGCATCAGATTTACAAGCCGATCCTCGCTTATAGTTGCGTATGCCGGGATATTTAGTTCGTCGCGAGATAGAGTGCGTGCTTCAGCCATGTACAAACGGGAATGGAAAACGATACACCTTCATTTGGAGTACACTTAGGCCCATGGGTCCTCGTCGGCCTTTCCTTCATACTCGCTGGCACCAACTTTTCAAGCATTACCAGGCTAGGGTGCGACCGCTACGATCATGCCTGGGAACGAGCTGTAATTGTTTTGAAGTAGCCGGTGGCTCCTCGCGTGTTTAGTCTATGTGGGCTTTCTGTTCCGGATGCAAGTAACACTAGTCTATCACGATTCTAGCGGTACAGTGTAGCGACACTCCTTTTCATGCCCCTGGTCCTTTTCACATTTCTATACCAATAAGCTTCTAATTTCTGTTTGAAGTTACTAGACATGGACACTAGCTACACACCAAATATTAGACCTATCAGTGGTGGTGCTATGGCTCTATGAATATGTGAACCAGCAACATCCACTGGAATCAAAGAGTAATGAATTGTGTTGATGTGCTACTTTGTTGCACAACACACATCTGGCATTCATCTTTTGTATTACTAGCTTCAGAACCCATTTTTCCTCATTTTATATCTGCTAATGGGCAAGATCAGAGGATTGTACATCCCTATAATACAATCTATCTGAAAGTCGAACACAGTGTGGCAGAACATGACGAGAAGTGACATGGCACATCAAGCGCGCACAAGATATGCCTAGATCATGATGCACAGTGCGTGACCATAGAGCACCCATAATTGGAAAATATCACAATCAGTAACATGGTAGTCACAGACTGTCACTGTGAAAAGGTTCACCGAATCCAAGCTCATCGTTGTCAAACAAGATGTTCCGAAAACACATCCCTTATGCTCCGATCCTAAGATCAGAGTAAATGAGAAATATATTGGGATAGAGAGGAAATTATGTAGATACGTTTTGTGAGTGATTGGCCTGATTAATGGCACAGACAATCATGATGCGTTTTGGTGTGAAAGAGAGTGTCGCTGCACTGTATGTAATGTACACGACTTCACAACGAAGATATTTGTGGCTGGCAACTCCCGAAGAGAAACTCCTCCGCTGTGGCTGCGGACCCTGAGACTGGGTCGCCAGCGAATGTGCCATATGCGCTAGCCTGAGCATGTGGGCCCTTCAAATGTACTTACCATCTCAGAGAGGACTACTACTTAGCGATCCCCTCAACTGGCAGCCTGCGAAGTATTAAGTGATTGAGTCATGGCAACGAGATCACTGTGATCTATCATATCACTCCATTTACGCGCAGAATAGCAAATTTTCTCCCATACAATGTTCTCCGTTACAGTGTCTGAATTCTGCATTGCTTTCCATCGCAGGCTGAGTCAGTGTCAAGTATGTTGATCGTCAGTCTCCAGCTCATTATGCCGCGATTGACCCTCTTTTTCACTACGTGCAGGGATGTCTTCTACACAACTCGGCACTATTACGTCCTGTCAAGATGATCAACTACTATACACGATGGACACCTTGTCGGGTATATTGTTGATCTCCTTGGCGCGTTCATCATGGGAATAATATTCCATTGTACACTGCCCTTGTCACTCAATTGGTGATATGTAAACGTTGTAGCCTTGACCCGCATGAGCGCAGGGTCTATCCTTGTATACACACTCCTCTCGCCGTAAGATTTTCATTTTGGCATGTTCGCTTATACAGTGCAAGATCTGTACGAATATAAGCTTATGCAAGTACATCAGTATCGCAGCTCTGGTGAATACTGACCAGCACAACCAGCCTATATGGCCTAGCCGCCACGATAAGTGAGTGGGTTGACTCTCATATGCGAGATTATATCTAATGCTGCCTCAGCTTTTGTTCTGTATGATTATGCTCTGACATTGTCCCTAGAGGTCCGTCATGTATGGGGACGCCCGCTCTCTGGAGCAAATGTAGTATACTTCCTCAACCGGTACCTCTCCATGGCATATGCGCTCCTATTGATTGGCGTGCTTTGTGTGGACTATATCCGATTGGCTTCAAAAGCAGATGAGGCGTGTTCTCTTTTTCACCCGACCATCAATTTTGAATTGACTGTATCTGTTGTTCTCAGGTGTATGTTTTTGGTGGGCCGTGCGAGACACGATACTGACGCCACCCCAGCTGTATTAGCATACTGAGAATACTTCGTCTACTCTTCATCGTTCTGGAGGTAAACATTGCGGGTGTGTCACGTTTGGCTCGTGGGAAGCACGTATCTCATGTTGCTGCCAGTGTTTATATCTATGCGACTATATGCTATCTGGGACAAAGATCGGCGGATCTTCGTATCTGTGTTGCTGATGGAAATGATCTCTATTATCCTGAACGCAGTACGTAGTGTATTTTCTATGTTATGACAAATTACTGTCTTACGATCCATGCTCAGTACGCATACGCGAGAGAGCAATTCGCATTCAACCCTGTCCCATTTACGGGTTGCATCGAATACACGAACCTCAATGGAGGTGTAAGCGACGCGTAAGCAACAAGAACTCGCTTTCACAGTGATGTGTTCTGACAGCTGTCGTAGTTGTGTGTCACTTCTGTGGGCTCTTTGAGTTGTACTTACATATGTTATATAGTCGACCTTACCACCGCTATTCTTTCGATCATGGCAAATTGTGTTGTCCTCCTCCTGATCGTCTTCAAAACATCTATAAGAATCCAGAAACTCCAACCATTAGCGCATTGGAAAAGTACACAGCTACTGTTTCTGATTCAAAAGGATGGTAAGCTGTCCACACCTACTTCTACAGAACTCACGTGCAAGGACTTGAATTCAGGTACTCTGCAATTTATGTACGTTGTTCATTTCCCTCTCCATTAGTATTACAAACGAATATATTACAGAGCAATTCTTTTCATCGGCATCATCAATCTCGTGGGAATCAAGTATCCGGTGCGCTTTATTCTCTAGTGGAACTCGCATTCATGCTCAATGGACGGCACAAAGGTGACGATGGTTACAATTCCTCTTATGATAGAGGCGTACGTAACGTTCTCGAATTATTCAGTGCCAGTTCGCCACATCAGAGTCTCTGTACTACTAGGTTGACCACCATTCTGGTGTCAAGATTCATTCTCAATCTTCGCGCGGTGTACATCCAAAATGAGCCAGGTTTTTCAAGCCAGAAGTCGGAGATCACGAGCCTTCAGTTCGCTGATGTGCATGTACAGCGCTCGGATGGCCCTCTAGTGTTTGACGGTGAAGCCGAGGACGAGGTGAAGGCATAGAGCCCTTATTCGGACGAGGTATAGCGGTTCTCGAATAGATCTAGCCATGCAGTTGCGCGCACAAGTTCTCGTGTCCTGCAATGAATATGACGTGTTACTCGCAATTTCGCCTGACAGGGAATGGCTGAACCAAAGGTGAGCTGCAAGACTAACGATGTGATCAAGTAGATGTAGTGAACATTACCCGACTGCAAATAACATAGTCACAATTGCTTGCTTTTTACGGCTGCAGAAATGCTTCCTACGTCATGCAGGAACCCTCTAACGGGGCCCGTAATCGATCTCGTCGCTGCTGCTAGACAGGTTCATGACCTGGAGCAAGACAATCCATGATCATGAGGGGTCTTGCACAACTCAAATTCGTCGATCTGGCAAGTTTCCCCGATCTTGAAAGTTTTCTCCGTGTATGAAGCGACGCATAGTTTCCCTCGGCGGGCCTTCCAATGTCTCCAACCGTGCTTTCTTGAGAGTCCATCCCGGGACCGCTAAAAGATGGCATGATGACTTAATCCGTTATCCAAGTTTTTCGAGCGAGTTGAGACAAGAATGGCGTACTGCAGGTGTAGGACTTGGCAAGAAACGGCATGATGATCGGACTGGCGCGTATTTCCCGCCACGAAAGTCACTTCAGGCTAGCCTTCAGAAAATGACAACGAAGCCAGAAAGCTACATTGAAATGAGCCCGGGAACATACACTCAAACTCTCCAAACAACTACAGTTGATGGGCTTTGCCTATTCGTTGCTCGACTCACACCGCCCCCAATGCGCTGCATTATCCCCAACTCCCGGATTTATTGCCTGCCGCAAATTTGCCCGCATATCTGACTCTGCATGGTACATATCGTCACAGCCATACGGTGCTTGCAGCCGCGCGTTCCATACCTACACCTTGTCTTTTGCAATAGGCGCGAGGATATCTGCCGAAAGACCGCCAACCCAAAACTTGTATGTCACGTACTTACCTCCTTCACAGCTCTTCGTCGCTGCGGCGCATGACACGCGTGCTGTCTTTGCCGCAAGCGCGAACACAATCCGGAATGGGGATGTCCGCAGCCGAACACGAGTCAAAGATGCCCAATGTGTACGAATCCATCGTCACGGGTCCGGGGTAGCAGCACAGGCCATGTCGTTCCTGCTCCGCCATAGGATGACCTTGATGTTGTTACGTTGAAACTCAAGGCCAGCAAGCAGGAATGGTACAACGCCAGCAATTGCAGCCCGCCGAGGACCGCATGCCACCGCCGCACCTCTAGCCATCAAGCGCACCAGATAGTCCACACCGAAGAGTTTCGCTTCGTTGATCTTGACTCAGTGGTGAAGTACACTTTGCTGTCCGGAATGTCTCTTGGAGAGCCTGCGTATGGGTCTTCGAGCAATCCCAGTATACCTTGTACCCATGGGAGGCAAGCACGTCCACGTTGGGGGATGACCGGGAGAAAAACCCTTCCAACAAGGCGGAAATAGTGACCCACCTTCTTTTCGGTACCCCGTCCTGATTGACCGGGTCTACAGCAACACCTCGAGCAAGCGTGAACAAGAGCATAACCGGTAACTCACCCCGTTCGCCTCTGTCCACCACGAAGTCTTCAAAGACAGACTTGAGCGCTCCCGGTGCGTCGAAGTCAGGATTCTGCATCATCCAATACCCTGCCTCGGAAAGAATAGGTTACGATGCCGCCACCGATATCACACATTCCAAGCGATCATCGAGCACCAGAAGGCTACGCGCGTGCCATTCGACCAGTTTTAACTTGTCGAGTTTTTCCGCTTGTGCCCTGCTATTGGTTTCAAGAGGAAGCCGCCGGGAGAGGCACGCAGGCTTGTGCTCATTCTTCTGTGAGTACTGCTCTCCACCACCGCTGAGTTTCACCCGGGCACAAGATAAAATAATCGTAGCGGGAGCCCCACCTGGTCCGGTCTGATCAGCTCCGTCGAATTCTAACACGACCAAAGGTCTACTTGTGAGCGATACTTCATTGAGGGTATCAACAAGGCGGTCAAATGCTTTATGAGCTCGTTCTTGATCCAGCAGCTGCAATCGTTTGGAAACATCTTCGAGCGCATACATTGACCTCACATACCTCGTCTGCTCGTTTAGCAACTTGTGTGTAGAAATCTTCGCGGAATTGTCTATGTGATTGCATCGTCATTTCGTCCATCATGTACGACCTGAACTGCGCTGCCACCGATTCGATTCCGCCACCGCGTTCGAATTGTGCATACCCGCCTGGGGGTTGCCACGTTGTCGAACGAGATCTCGCGCGTCACTTCGAACAGCGCATGAATAAGTGCACTTGCATGCGCATGCTTCCCATCCTCGTATACCAAACTACGCATGTAATTGTGGACGCGACGGTCTGTAGGAGAATATCCTATGCTAGATATGAATTATCAGCAGAAGCGCCCTCACCTGCAGATAAATATACGAGACTTAGACCAGACGCAGAACGTCAGTGTATGAATAACAAGAAGTAGAGGCATAGAAAGACTTGCTCAAGAGCCTTATTTTTCTGAAAGATCTCGCCTCCCATGCGTCTTGAATCAGAGCCTTCATCTGAGGATTATCTTTCAATAACTTTGCGCCTGCGCTCATTCTCTTGTATTTTCCATCAAGTCGTCTCTGGGAACGCTCTACAACAACGCCAAGGATCACCAAGGCTGACGGTTTTGGTTCATGGGGCCCGAACATTTGCAAGACTTCTCTATCCATGTCCTCATGCGTGATTGGGTCGAAATGGTCGTACACGAGGTCGCAATCCACACCGAGTTTGGGACGAAGAAGCGGCGGTCCTGCGCTAGGCAGCTCGTCTTCGACACGTTTGGGTACGGGACCAGGCTGCTCAGGGGGAGAATGAGGGAAGACACGGAAGTCTTGCCAAGCTTGAATTATGACTGTGACGCCCCATCTCTGTTGTCTATACAGCGCGGCCCCCGCGTCCTCGTCGAGAAATGCGCTCTGTGGACAACGGCAGCCGCTGGCACTCTGTCAGAATGAGGGCAGCAAAAGGTGGTAAAGCAGAACCAAAGACCGCATCGGAACTAAGAACATAAACAAATAAGTCAAGAGGAATACACATTCGAGCGCCGTGGCTAGAAGACTCCGCTGTGGCCGCGTGTGTCCCATCTCTTGCTCTCTCCTTTTCCCTTCCCCCGTATCGACAGCGCAGCGGAGCGATGGCACTGTACCCCATCGTGTCAGCGGACTGCAAACCGATTCCTCGTGTGCATCGGACCTCGGCATGACTCGTCGCCTTCAAAGTCTGCTAGATGCATTCTCTCGTCACAAAGTCACGGATAACAAGTCGACATTAGTGAATGTTCAGACATACACATTTAAGCTTTTCTAAGACTTGGTGGGGGAGTAGGATGGGAAGGACTTCAGAGCAGGTAAGTCGAACCTCTAAGCGTGCATCGCTAGTTCGAGTCAGAGGGGCATGCATTTTGTATCTTACCCCCTCAACTTCTACCCGATTTCGTGCCAGACACTCCGAGAATTCACATATATAACGAGCGTTTCAAGATACGCTCTCCGCTCACTACTGCTCCCCTTTCCACTCGCTCAGAGCGATACACTCGTCCGACCATATGTTAGCAAACGCCTCGGGGTACCTCGCCCCATGTGCATCTGCAGCGTTGATTGCGGCGCTCAATGCCTTCACGTCTTCGTCCTTTAACTCAATCTCCGCGCCCTTCGCGTTCTCCTCCAGACGGCGCACCGACCGCGTTCCGGGGATGGGTACGAAATCTGGGTGCTGCGCGAGGATCCACGCAAGCGTCGCTTGCGACGGCGTTGCCCCGTACTTTGTCGCAATTTTATTAAACTTGTCCACCAGCTCGAGGTTCTTTGGAAAGTTCTTCTCGCTGAAACGGGGCATGATCAGGCGCAAGTCATCTTTGGCAAAGTCTTTGCGTGACTTGTATCTGCACGTACAGTCAGCGTGAGCTCCCATGCATTTCACTGAAACACTTACTCTCCACTGATGAGGCCTGTGTGGAAATAATGTCAGCGCAGACGTTCCTGAAAGTCAGACGACATTAGTGCGTACCTCGTCCCAGAGGCGAATACGCAACAATGCTCACGCCGAGCTCTCGGGCGGCGGCGACGAAACCCGACGACTCGATTCCGAGCTCGAACGGGCTGTATTCCATCTGGACCGCAACGACCTTTTCACCGACGCCAGAAACGGCCTTTGCGCGCCGCAAGACGTCAATACTGCATTCGCTCAGGCCTAGATATTTGACCTTGCCGCTCTCAACGTATGGGCGCAGTGTCTCGAGTACGACTAGCACACACGATCAGCGCTGGTAAGCTTTCAGGGGCTCGTACACACATACCTTCGATGGGGACTTCGCTGTCAACACGGTGCTGGTAGTACAAGTCGATCCACTCTGTCTGGAGCTCCTTGAGGGAGCTCTCGAGCTGGCGCCGGATGTACGCTGGCTTGCTGTTCGCCTTGTACTGGTTCTCGACGCCGGGTGTCGTGTCGAACGAGCCGAACTTAGTCGCGAGGAAGATGTCGGCACGACGCCCGGTGCTCGTAAACCACTTGCCCAGCGTCGCCTCGGCTACACCCAGGACAGGACTTGGATTAGTTCGCGTATCATAATCAGGATGGAGTTTAAGCTGGACGCACAGGTCCCGTAGACGTCAGCGGTGTCCCAGAAAGTCAGACCGCGGTCGGCGGCGTAGGTGAGCGTCTCCAGAGCCTCTCCTTCATCTGTCTTACCGTACCACGCCCCGATACCTGATCGCTAGCATAAGAGGCTGCTTAAAGCATGAGAACGACACACGTACCCATCGCACCGTAGCCAATTGCGCTGACTGTCGGACCATTACGGCCGAGTTGGCGAGTGGGGTACTTGTTAGCAAGCATGGCTTGAAATCTCGCTGTGTGCTAGCTGAAATTGCAGTGCACAATTATGGGTATATCTGCCAGGTTTTATAGCTGCGCGCGCGCTGCAAAGTCCGAATCACAGAGAGCGACGGCCGCAACGCTTGCGTGTACGACGACGCTCGTGCGGCATGGCCCTTGGGAGGGGCCTGGGCTGTAGACGGACGTATGCAGAAATGACAAGCCGTTCTTCGGCGATGGTCCCGACATGGCCATAGCGAAGAGCTTCAGGAGCGGTACCGGTACCTCGTGCGGGGTTGCCGAGAGCAAGTGCATGGACTCGGGCGGTGATAGTGGCGCCCCTGGGACTGTCCGAGTCCACTCCCGAGTCGGAGAATGTGTCAGCTTAGCAGTCAGCTCAGCCGTATTTCTGTCGAAGTACTATCAGCACGCTCAGCCACCCGTGCAGACACTCCCCCGTCTTATGCGCGAGCCACTGTGTAGGCTTTACGTTCGCATTGAACCCACCTCCATTCCCTCAAAACGCTGCTGATATTTCGCGTCAAGACTGATAGCTGGCAACAGACACTTGCAGCCTCGCAGCCTCTTACAACCCCTGTATGTTGCACGAAAGTTTCGACTATCATAGTCATGGTTTCCACTGAGATCAAATACAGCACAAAATTCCTTGCGGCCTATATACTGAGCGTGACCATAGATGCAGATTTTGTTTGGTGCCACCCGGATCGTATCCAGTAGTGCTCGTCGTTGCCTAGTCCATCGGTGAACGGACAACATAATTGCCTCTGAGGTTATGGATTCAGGAGAAGTCATACAATGTTGGTGTGGAGATCTCATTTCAAAATACATAATTCACAGCGCACGCGACGAACATGCAACTACCAGCATTCGACGTGTGGGGGCTGTTTTCCTCCACGAGTTTCCATCTTCGCGGGCTGCGTTGCGATGCCGTTCCTTGAGTAGATTGTACAGATACGTGTCCTGCACACCACATTTGGGACCTTAGCTTACTACTGGGACGCGCCCGTGCCACTGGGTCACGGTAAGTGATTGTTTCTTTCATTGCTCGAGCATGACGCTACAGAAAACGGAACGCACGTCTGTTAGTTGGGGCAGGCTCCGACATCTTGCGATAAATCGTTGAACATTGGATATACGACAGCACCCGACCTCCTTCCAGTCGAAAACGTTGACATCATCAAAGGCCTATCAGGAAAACAGGAAATTACCGGAGACGCTGTACCAGAGGCTCCAGATCGGTTCAGAGGTGATTTCATCGGTCCAGCTGCTCAGTACTCAGTTGCCAGAATCTTAAAAGAGCACTCTAACACACCATCATTTCAGGCTGTATGTTTGGGTGTACCACACGACTAGAGTCAGTGTATGGACTCTGATTACCCTTGCCACTAACTCCACGCAAGAATTCCGCAGCCCAATCTGTGAGAGTAGTATCAGCTGCAAGATCATTGCTCTGCCATTGCACGTCGCAGTCATTGACCATAGACTGATAAATGGAGGAGATTTTATCGCCACACAGCAGTGGCTCTTGTAGAATCACCGTTGAAGCCAGTCTCCTGTGGCAGGCAGCAGCTAGATGATGGCAGCCTTTTCGACTGAAAGGAAGTTGATCGTTGCTACATACTTGATATTGGCGGCCGATGGTTTATCGCTCGGAAATGTCAGAGCCTGCCCCAACTAGTAGATCTATACTCCGTTTCCCGTAGCGTCATCTTTGATCAATGAAAGGAATAGTCACTTAGCCAGTGGCACGGGCATGTTCTAGTCATAAGCCATGCGAGTCACAAGTTATGGTCCTAAATGCGGTGTGCAGGACATGTACCTGTACAATCTACTCAAGGAACGGTATTGCATGCAGCCTGCGAAGATGGGGGGTCGTGGAGGAAAACCATCTCGGACGTCGAATGCCGGTGGTTCAGAGATTTCGACGCCAACGTCGTACGACCTCTCCTATTAACGCATAATCCAAGAGGCCATTAGGTTGTCCGTATATAGCTGGACGAGGATACGACAACTTGAAGCACTACTGGGTACAATCTAGATGACACCAAACAAAATCTTCATATATGGTGATGCTGAGCACATATTACGCCGTGAGGAATTTTGTGTTGTACTTGATTTCAGTATTCAAACTGCTAGCGAGGCCGTTGGTGGACCACGCCGGAAACTGGTAACTGTTATCAGACCTGGCAACGAAGACGCTGCAGTGTCCTACCAGTGCTTCATGCTGCATGGACGTCTTGACTACTGAGTGGTTTTCACTGAAAGTCCTTAAGCAATCAGAACCTCTACAGGGTGCTAACTGTTCGACTAGATAGCAAATAATCCAGCTGATGGCTGCGTGGACTGCACCGAGTAACATTCATTAATTTCAGGTGATGTGTCCCCTAGAGCTAAGCACACTGGGAGAACTTCTGCAATGTCAATTTCGGGATCCCTGGTTAAACAATACCAATAATACGTGACGAACAGCGCGCATGACGAACATGTGACTACTGGTTTTTAATGTTCCTCCGTCAATGGTCTCCCGTGCTGAATGAAACCCATAAGGCGTGTCCTCGGACTTACGCTATGCCTTCTGTAAGTTGTGAGTGGGGTGTGCAAAGTCAATGCCGAAGGCGCTCACCTCCAGAAATGGATACCTCGCGCTCAGATTGATGCAG